AAATTCATAACATATTTAATATTTTTATTACTTTTAATTATCATAAAATGTTTACGTTATTCACTTGTTTTTGTGGAAACTGTGGTACATTTTGAATAGAATCGTTCATCAATTCATTCATGAATAGAAAGTTTATATGTATTTGTAAACTTATTATTTTACCTTTATTGCTATTTTTCATCATCATTCAGCGTAACAGAGATATTTATGTAAAAATGAAACAACATGCTTATTCTGACCTGTACTTAAAAGTGATAATACTACATTGTATTATATTTTAAATGATTTAAAAACTTCTTGCTGACAAATGTGTAAAACCTAGTGGTTTGAAGGATAGTGGCAAAGATTGGTAAAGATTTAAAATGACAATTAATTAGTATTTTGGGGGCTGCACTGTGATCCTTAAATAGTCTTTAAATGACAACTGATGATTCTTGTTCTGAATATACCTGACAAGAAGTTTTGGTATATAAACTATTGTTCCTTTGGAGGACATTTGTGTAATGTTTTTGTTATCTTTATATACATATGTATTGTTTTAAATATGCTATTGTATAGTTTAAAGAATGTCATCTGAACTACATTTGATTAAATTTGACCTTTATGTATTTTCTTTGTAGAGGGTTTATCTCTGCTTGGAGCGTACGAAGACAGTGAAGAAGAAGATGCAGCAGAAAACTCCTCGACTGCCACGAAGGCAAAGCATAACCAGTCCGCAGACATTGACAGCACACTTGCCAATTTTATGGCGGTAAGTGAAATCATGAGGTACTGAAGACCAGACATATCGATTTGTGCACAGTTTATACTAAAAATCTGTCTGTAATTTCGATATGGGTTATTGTATGTTTTCCTTAAAGGAAATTGATGCAATTACGACTCAGACAACTGAATCTGGATCAGAGCCGAGCGCACCAGCCCCAACTCCTCCTCGCCCCGAACCCAAAACAGACCAGCAGACTCATGATCAGAACGGACCCGCACAGGAATTTCAATACAACACACAGTACTCCCTCGCAGGGGGTGAGCTTTCTAGTCGACTGGTTCTGTTTTGTACATAAATCTCAAACTAAATGAAAGAATGTGGAAATTAATACTTGTATTCTCGTGTTTGGGGATGTTGTAGCTGGGTTGGAGATGGGTGATTGGCAGGAGGTGTGGGATGAAAATACCGGCTGTTATTACTACTGGAATACTCAGACCAATGAGGTGGCCTGGGAACTTCCGCATTACCTGGCAAACCAGATGCAGAGTTTACATTACACAGGCAGGTGAGTTGTGAACATGAGGTCAGTAATAGGGACATTTTGCTGGCAGTCAGAAGTAAGTTTTAAATGATTTTTACTAGTTGGAAATTGTCATTGTATAGAGTATTGCACTGTATTGAGATATTTTATTTAAAAAAGGATATTTTATAGAATGATTAATATTATCTAATAATATATAATAATTTTTATATTTATAGAAGTTTTATATTTATAATCGTATTTAGGGATGTAACGTTTCACTCAACTCACGATTCGATTCACGATT